CGGATATCTCAGTTTTGGTACTAAAATTGGAAATCTCCGATTCAGGTACTTTACAAAATCTGCCTTCTCAAACTAAGCTTCAGTCCTTAATTCATTTCCAACAAGCTCTAAAAGTACTGGTCCCTAGGATGTTTAAAATGTACAGGACTTTGGAAAAATAGTACCACTTTTCTTTTAAAAATAATATTCATATTTTTTTGGTGCTACCTCGTCCTAAGTAGAAATTAGAACTATAGGGAATGAAAAATGATAGTTTTATTTTGGGCCTTGAGAACCCAATAGGAATAATCTCCCTTTAGTACGTAGCTTTCTGTTTGGGCCACTCTTTTGGGCTTAGCCAAACTAAAAGAGTTATGATTCTCAAACCAAACGAAACTGATTTTCAAAGTGGAACAGTTTCAACTCATTGGTAATTGGTAAAAGATTCCTTCCACTTTTCAACTTCTTGGAAGTTGAAACTCTTTTACTCTCACCGTTCCACCTACCAAATTAATGGAACCCGTGAACCCTCTCTTCTCCTATTTAAATCAAGATATCTTAATCCATTTCCATCACAAACAACTCTCTCAATATGAAAAGTCCTCAAACTCACTGTCTAAGAAACACACCAAGAAAAATATCCCCAATGGAGAAAATTTTCTTTCTCACCCTCATAGACGGCAATGGAAGAAGCCTATTGAGAAGAAAAGACTTTTAAGGTATATGGTGAGAATCTCGGCAGTAGAGAAGGTCTATGGTGGAAATCTCGTATTTTTCAGTATTAGACCATACACCTTCTCTGGAACAACACTCTCTCTATCTTTATTCTTATTTTGAGAGATGTGTTGCTTCCAAGATCTTAAATATCCACTTTGGATATTAAAGATCTATCAAACGCAACGTCAACCGCTCTGCCAAGCAGAATCTGCTGAAGCTGAAACGGTCAATGGCGGAAGAGATCACAAAATCTCAAGACAAGACTTGGTTTAGGAATTATTGTAATTTGAATTGTATTTGTTTAAGAGCTATTGTTAACAAGCTGTATATTATGAGAAACTAAAAGAAAGTTACAAAATTAGTTCTCAGTACAGCGACCGAAACTCTTAAACACTTGTTTGTCATCATCAAAAAGGGGGAAATTGTTGGGAAAAATATCATAGATTTTGATGATGATGTATTTAGAATGTAATATGGACTTTAGGTCTCCCCCAATATTCAATGTAATTTTTCTTTTAGAAATATTGTTAAAACCAAGTTCTTGAGATTTCCAATAAGGTTATGATATTTCTTTAAGCGTTTTGATGCCTGAAGACTTAATCAAATTCATTGATATGGAAATTGGATATCTTAATCGAAAATGCTAGAGACAAGTAAGGATTTCTCAAGCAGATGAAAATCCTCTGATCCGGAAGACTACATAAGAACCGGATGTCTCGCTACAACCCGCTGAAGGCTATGTCACCCAAATCGGAAGACTAGCGCGGATCTCTTTCTCACCCGGAAGTCTGAGAATGACTCCTCCGGATTTGTCAGCTAAGAACCGGATGCCTCAAGGAAGACCGGAATTCTCAAAAAGCGGACAAGTGAGAAAAGACTTAGAAGATTATCTAAGTCTTGAATGAAGAAATTCTACCCGTTGGTAAGGAAAAATCAATCTCTTGATTTTCAACGGCTAGATTGAAGATAATTATGCCGATTCAAGAACAAATGACTCGAAGACAAAGTCTGAACCTCTAAGAATTGAAGAACCTGTCTAGAATTCCTAAACAAGCACTAGAAGACAAACAGAGTAAAGTTCTACAGTCTAGAATACTTGAACAACAGCTAGAAGACGGACTCTATGGAAAAAGGAATCCCTCCTTTAACAAATGGGTATGTCCAAACACCCATTCCAATGAGGAATCTTCAAATCACAATCTTCATTCAAAATTAAAGCCAGCAAATGCAACGGATAGTCTATTATGATTCAATGAATAGATTATCCAATCTAGCTATAAATAGCATCCTTGGAAAACTGGAGAAAAAACAATGAGATACAACAACACTACGAAGCAATCTCTAACAACAAAGCTATCTCATTCACAGTTAGCACAAAAAGTTTGATAAAGAGAGATTTCTAAACTCCTTATCCAGAAGCAAACTTCTCCTCCTTCCAAAGAGCTATAGTGTAAACACTTGAAGGTTTCCTTGCCTCAAGCACCACACCACGTTGAAGGATATTACTTTTGATCAAACTTATTGATTAAAAAGGGGGTAGGTCAACTCTCTTACAAGTTGATCTTGCAAGTCCTATTGTTCGGACCTTGCAGTTGTTGAAGAAGCTTGACCTTCGAAGGAACAACAAAGCCAGCACGAGTGCAGTAGAAACATTGGTCTTGTGAAGATATACCGTGCAGAAATTCACACAAGTGTAATTGTTGGTTTAATATTCAACAACCAACTACATAGTGGATTTTGAGGACGTAGAAGGATTACCCCACCTTCGAACCTCGTTAAAGTTTGCGTGTCTCTCTCTTTTATCTTTATTCTTACTTGCCATTATATTAACCGTGAAAACTAAACCATCCATATTGATTACTTCTCACTCTACCCACCAAACTCCACACACAATCTAAAGTTCACAAGGACTCTAGATTAACACTCATTTTCACGTTTTCAAAAGAAACGAAAAAGATTTTAAATCTGTAACAAAGTCTATTCACCCCCCTCTAGACTTTGTATTTCACCACTTTGGGACCACCATATATAATTTTATATAATCCATTAATTCATAATAATTGATTTTTACAATTTACATAATCAATTAATTCATTATAATCGATTTTTACAATTTAAATAATCAATAAATTCATTATAATCGATTTTTCCACTATAAATAATCGATTAATTCATAAAAAATCGATTTTTACAATTTAAATAATCCATTAATTCACAATAATCTATTTTTACAATTTTAATAATCCATTAAATCATAATAATCGATTTTTACAATTTAAATAATCAATTAATTCATAATAATCGATTTTTACAATTTAAATAATCAATTAATTCATAATAATCGATTTTTACAATTTAAATAATCAATTAATTCATAATAATCGATTTTTACAATATAAATAATCGATTAAATGGTAGTGACTTCAAACCACTGATCTGAATAAAATTCTAATCGATTTTTAGTAAGTAAATAATCGATTTTCGACCACTGTTCATCGTGTTCTTCCTCGAGTCAGTTTTAACATTATCATTTTTTAATCACCAAACTTCAATTTAATTATATAAAAATGTTCTCCAATGTTCACAGATCATTTTAGAGTCATTAATTCGTAATTTTAACAACAATTTCATGGTTTATGATTCTTGGTTC